CACCAAAATGCAAAATCAACATGACAGAGTTCCTGGAGAAAGCTAGGAGCTAGGCACATCTGGTCACAGCAAATGGGCTCTTGACAAATCACGATGAATTACAGACAGTTGAAAAAAGTATTGTGTCAATCTTTGTGGTAGGCAAGCTTTTGCACAAAATTTCATTGCTCCACAAAAGACAGCATCATTAAAGCATTGATGTCCTGGGGGTTAAATCACAGAGAGTCATCAAAGGTAAAGGATTTTTCATGTGGGACATACTGTTACTCATGCCTGCCGACTTTGAAGCCATCAGCAGTCAAGACCTCATTACAGACTGACTAAATATCAGAGCAAACATAGGACCGATGTTTCAGTATGTGAGGTCCCTCCTCAGATTGTTGGGAAATACTTGGCCACTTATCTGTGCCAAATTGGACAGATACTCAGTGCTTTCCCTGACAATCTGACTGGGGGGGATGGAGCTTCGAGATATTGATAGATCATAAAGCCTTCATCTCCATCTCCAACTGCCTGGATGTAGAGGGCCAAAAAAATGCCTATTATCGTCTCAGGCCGAAGACCAACTTGTTGGAAGTATGGAGAGACTGGTCACCTCCCCTCTTCCTGCCCAGAGAAGAAAGCCTCTGGACTTCTGGCCCCTACCAACCCAAATCTCCCTCTGGTCAAATCTGTTGTTTCCATCTTGCTTGTAATGGGTATGCCAACAGCTGGGGCTGGTGTGGTGAAACTCCTGGTTGGGTCCAGTTGTGGAGAAGGAAAAGGAGGAATGGCAAGTTAGAGGGAAGCTAGAGGGAAGCTCCAGACAAAGGCAGGGCTAGAGGGAAGCTCCAGACAAAGGGTCCTCATCTCACAGAAGCCACTATGGCAAAAGGCACAAGCAGCCCCATTCCCTCTACCGGTTCTTCGGGCAACTCTCCGAACAGCTACTTGGACAGACTTTGGCAACAGCAATTGAAGTTCAAACCATTATTTGAAAAGAAAGGAAAACTACAACAATTAAAAGACTCCCTTACACAGCAACATCTCCAGGCTAGAAAACTAATTGGCTCTTCTTCAACTCCATCATTTCCATCTTCTAAGCAGCAGCACATGGATCTACCTCCCATAACTAAAGCAATGTCTCCCACCTCTTCCAAAATGACTACCCTTAATAAGGCTCCCAGTCTCAAATACTTAGCCAAGAAAAAGCCTGCCCCTGCCCATACCTCTAAACCCATCCCCTATCCAAACTCCCATTACCTCCTCACAAAAATTGGAAAAGTAAAAAAGACAGAGAAGTCCACCAGCAGACATGGTAGAATCTGCAAGCAAAAAAGGTCTCCAATCCAAATTTGGAGAAGACGTTTGCCGAATAACAAAAGAACAGGAAGAGAAGTTATCTACACAGTCAAAAAATTAAAACATCTAATTAAATTAAAAAAAAATCAATAATTTATATGTTGAAATTCCTACAAACTTTCTTAATGCCAAAAGGATTTTAACTGTGGTGAGAACTGGTGCCCCTGGACAACAGATTTGGTCAATAATACAAGAGGCAAATCATGTTTTTGGCAGGTTTCCACCATTAGCATGTTTTGACAATGTCAAAAAATTAAACCAATTTTGTTCAGGGAGGCTCTCACTTTATGTTCACCCCTTCCTTTATAGAGCTTTAAAACTTACGTTCCCCTTGGACAGTGGTGGTCTGTCTCCTGATGGCACCATCAAGGCTGAAAAGGGCACAGGATCATTGGGAAAGGCCATATTCAATGAAAGAGAGCAATCCTAATTGGTTTCATTATGGCTTTCTAGTTGTCTGCTTTCACCATTGCTGTATGTTCTTTTGTTGGAACCTTCCCTTTGCAAGTTAAAGACGAAAGTCCTATGTGGAATTTCTCTACCACCTCAGCCAGGTATTCTGCCTATGCTGATGATGTTTTGGTTCTTGTGTCAAACAGAATCAAGATTGATGAAGTCAGCAAAGAAATCAGTGGGTACAAGATGGTAACAGGGGCTAAGCTTATTGGGTGTGTGGAAGGGAGTTTCTCTTCCCAGACTTTTCCTTTGGACAGACAGGTCACTCAAGATACTCAGCATCTGGTTTATTACTGATATCCAGTTGGAAATGAATTGGTCAGGGGTACAAGGGAAGACTGAGATTTCAGTTAATTTGTGGTCTCAGAGGAATCTTTTCTTAAAAGGGATGGCGGAAGTTTGTGTTTTACACATCTACCCGATTCTCCTTTACTGACTCTGTGCTTCCATTTCCATATACCACACTAATGTGATAAGTAAGGCTCTTGTTCTCCTTCTTGTGGGGAAGCAAGGCCACCAGGGTATCTCAGGAGATCTGTTGCCTCTGCCCATCTGAAGACGATCTGAGTATGCCTAGCATTGAGATTCGACAATATATGCTTCACATTGCATTCCTAGACCAAATGTGTCACAATTTGGATGAGGCAGGCGTCTTCTGGAAAGAAGACACCGGAAAGAACTTCCCATCCCTGAGAAGTGTGCACTCGTGCGAGGAGGAGGCCCACCATTTACCCCGAGCCAAATGCTCCTTCTATCACAAATGCTGTCTTGCTCTGAAATGACTCTTATGGGCATCAGATGGCCTCTCCAATATCTAGGTGTTGTCTTGTAGGGCATTACATCAGGTGTTAGGGGGTCCATTTGTAATGAGCTGATTGATGAGCTCAGTCTTACAAAGCAGGAGGCTCGCACTATATGGCCTTGGGTGCCCAGGTTGAAATGCCTCAATAACAATGAGGCATTCCTCACCGGCTGGTGATTCATGGGGCCCTCTGGGCCAAAAGACTTTGTTCAGCAGGCTTAGAGAAATCTCCAAACTGCCAACACTGTGACGGGGAAGTCATGCCTTCTTTCATTGAAGGGTTGTAGCACTGTTATATAAGTTTGTTGAAGGCCTCATGGTTTGCATGCTGCAAGGAAATTTCTTTGTCCTTGAGGCCAGTTCTGTTTGTAACAATGTGACAAAGCCAGAAGGGATACTATGGAGGCGAGAAGTTCACTTCTTTCTAACTAATCTTGTACTTTAAACGTCAGTTAAAGTCAAGATTAGAGTAAAAAAGCAGTGGCTCACTTTATCAGAATTTGGCAAAAGGTGGGTGAATCTTGTATGTTTGTGTCAAGTGAAAGAGGCTGACTTGGAGTGGCACATTAATGCCAGTTATACATCAGGATATTGTTCTTCCTGGATTGAACTTAGCCAACCCCGCCTGAAATTAGGCAAGTGTAGGGTTGTTTTTGTATTTTTAGTGTCTTCATTCTAGTTAATTTAGCTAGGGGATATATGTTCATTGGCCCATTTTATTTCTGTCCCTATTTTTCTTTAGTTTAATTCCACATCTCATCCCTTGTTAGGTGGGCAGTGATGTCAGTTCTTCGGTGGATGCGGGGTGCCTTTCATTTCAGGTGTGATTTTCATATTTGTTGTTGTGTTTGAGTGAGTGCATGGGATGAATGAATGTTTTATATTATTAAAATCCCACATTGATTTTGTCCAGTTAACTGATGTTTATGCCACATTTAAGGATTTTGGGTGGTTTTATTACTAATATTTTTTTATTTGGCTTCTTGTAAATAGTTTTGTTTTCATATTGTAAATACTCATTGGGGCTAGATTTTAAATTGTTGTTTTATTCCCCCCCCCACAATGAATTGTACATATGGGAACTAGTTAGGATTTTCATAGAGAAATTGAGGTATTATGGTGGATGTAGCTCCATGCTTTCCAGCCAATTTTAATCTGCAAAAACTTAAATGAAATGTCAATCACTATCTACTGTCCTTCTAATTACTCTTTCTCTTCCTGCACATTATTAATGATTCTGTTTCTAATTCTTCCACACTTTGTAACCCCTTGTTAAGTAAGAATCTGCTGTTTCGATGTTAGGAATATTCTGGTATGCCTGGGTCAGTGTTTGTGTCTAGCTAAGTTTAAAGTTAAGACAGATGAAGACTGTTCTTTTTCCCATTCCCCATTTTGGCCTTGTGCCACATTTTCTGTACATAGCAGAAATAAATATTGCTCTTTGCTATGGCATCTAGACTTTTAAATTTAAGCACTGTACTATACTGATGTCAAGATATCATCTATTCACACTTGAACTAGCTAGATGTAGCTGTACATTCTATGCTAACAGTTTCTTTTCTTGCACTTCTTACTTGTGGAACTCCCTTCCAGCTCCATGCTTTCCAGCCAATTTTAATCTGCAAAAACTTAAATGAAATGTCAATCACTATCTACTGTCCTTCTAATTACTCTTTCTCTTCCTGCACATTATTAATGATTCTGTTTCTAATTTTTCCACACTTTGTAACCCCTTGTGTCTTAGTGGCTTTACTGCCTTGCATGAGGTGATGATAAAATAAAAAAAGTATGTAATGCTGTCTATGGCAAAGTAAAATATAGAAATTAACAAAATTGCTTCATAATAAACTGAAAAATGTACAAAGCTCAATAAATAGAGCAAAGCTAGAGCTAACTCTCAGAGAAAGAATTCAATATGAACCTGAGAACAGAACGAGTGATATAAATGATTAAATGACAAAAAGTGAGTTGCATTGGATATATAGCAAGAAGAAAAGAAAACAGATGGAGTAAAAGGTTGCTTGATTGGTACCAAATTGGTAGTGAACATAAAAAAACAACAGATGGAAGATGTAGAGATAAAATAGAAGGGTTTGTTGGTTAGACATGGTAGAGAATGGTACAGTCATAATCAACATGAAACAAGAAAGGCCTCCTACAGAGGACTAGCAGTAGTTGCTGCTGCTGATGTTGGTATGTGCAAAATCTCCTAGCACCCTTTCTAAAAATTTGAGACTGAATACAAACCGATCTTTTCATTGTAACCATTTGCATATATTGAATCTATACTGCTATAGAAAAGATTTTTTAATTATGAGGAATCTTGAATGAAAAATCTGTTCATTTTTTTTTTAATGTTTGAGACAAGGAAAAAAGTAATGTTGATAAATATAAAACTTACTTAGCAAGGGCAGGCACTTCATAGGATGCATCAGTTATTGATTGTATGGCAGCAACAGCAGCAGTGAGTAACAATCTTGTCTGGTTGGTCTTTTTTGCTTCTTCAGCAAACAAATCATGCAGTTCCTGTGGTCAGGATATACAATACTTAGTAAATTTAGATCAAATATTGATGTTTATAAAATCTTTAAATGACTGCAATATTAACATTATATGGTATTGGAAGAGTTTTGAATTTTTAATGGTAAAAAAAAGGTTTCATTTTCTGGAGTCAGATATTTCATCTTATTGTCAGTGGGATGTTTTCTCAAAGACTTGCACATTGTATGTGAGTTATGAACACTTTGCCTTGTAGGCTAATATTTCAGGTACTTCAATGTTTTCATATATTGTAGGTTTCCCTTTTTTGTCATTGAACAGTTCTTTGATGTATTTGTTCTATCTTTCAGGTATTATTCTTTTTCTATTATGAGCATTCTCTCTTTAAGTTTTATGCATCCTTTCAAAGAGCACATCTTTTGTCCTATTATCTATTTTACCCTTTTTATACAAGTCTGCTGTATCTATGATTCTCAGTTTCTTCAAAGATGTGAAATATTAAAATCTGGGATGAAATTAATACTGGCAAAATTGAACATTAACAATGGAACCAAACCAGACATGATCGTAATGCTATCAGCCTTAGATTTTTTGTGGTTGACAAGATTACTAAAATAAATGAAATATTCAACAGTGGCAACATACTCAGTTGATCAATCCTTATGGTGCTGCCTAAGAGGGTAGGTAAAAAATGAATGTGAGCTCCATTGGACAATCAACTTAATGAGTCACATAATTAAGCTTATCATACAGATTTTGATGAATAAAGTGCATAGCAGAATTAGAAGCTGTGGAGAGCCATGACTGCCCACATCCTAAAAGAATGTAAAATAAGAAGAGGAATGATTCATTGTCCTAATTCTAATGTCATTGTTTCACCAATAATTTGGAGATAAGCCTTACATAAAAAGCAACTTTTTTTGAGCACTTAGACTGCACTTACTAACTAGTCATATCATTAGACTAAATTTTATATATTTCTACAGTTCTTTTTCTTCAAATGATTAGCATATCTATCAGTCTTAGGGTTACGAAGAAACAGGCTGTTGTGGAGAACAACAATTTCTCATGCCGTGAAAGGCACATAAAATAATTTGTAAGCTATCTTTAGAAAAAGAGCACTAAGTCTTCCCTTAGCACTTCCTTTTGAGATATATTCAGGGTCAATTCCTAACTATGTAATGGGGAAGTGCATCATGATAAGAACAGCTTCCTGGAAATAGATATTGAAATTTTATATATATATACGTTTTCTAAAGGAAAGCAGAGAATCTCATATATAGCCTGAGGTAGCTCCATTGATAACTGGTGCAACATTTACCCTGAGTAATTATTGCTATTAACACTAAATTTTGGTTGATAAATTATCCAGCTTTCTCAGGTGTATATTGTATTAAATCTTCGTACACATGAGAAAGTTTGAAGATAAAACTTTGTAACACCAAATATGAAGCCAATAATAAAGAATATTGAAAATTTTTCAACTAAAGCTTTAGAAAACAATTTGATAATGCTTCTTTGATGCAATGTTTTCTCATTTAAAAAATGTAGGCAAATGTCAATCCAGTAATTAAAAAAAAAAAATAAAATCAAGCTACATTTAATGAATAATAGAAGCAAATATAAAAATGCATAAGACATATAACAATGGCTAATCTCAGAATTAATATTTTTTGTATTATTTATGGCAATGTGATATAGGAGAAAGACTTTCTTACTGTTGCTAACAAGGTGAAGTTATGTTTTTGTTCTTTGGGTAAATACCAAGCTGGAAACTCAAAGTCCAAATCAAATCCATCAAATCCATACTTTCTGAGCAATGCTAATGCACTCTTGATGTACCTGTAAAAGTCAAACCAACAATTACGTTTCAAGATATACTGACTTTTCAACTTGGCATCAATTTGCTAAATTATTTGTGGGGATGTTAATGAATCAAGTTATTTCTCTGCTTATATCATACACAAACAAGAATTATTTTGTATATTTGTTATCTTTGACTTCATCTTTTTTTAAAAGCCAAGATGAATAAACTTTACTTTCATGTCATTATACTCCATGCTCTTTAACTTTACCCCAAGTGTAAACCAATTAAAAAAAAACACAGCTGTTGTTTGATTTATATCCCATGAAACATAGAACACTAAGCTAATTCCCTCTTATACAATCCTTAATTTTATTTTTGTCAGTTTGGAATATTAAAAGTTTTTGTATATTAATGAAATGATGTTGCATGCACTTTTTCTTTCACTGATGATCTTTCTTTACAGAATCTATAAACCACTTTCAAGTTGATATCAATCTACTTTGTATTGACTGATACTTGAAGAACACTAATCGAAACACATTGTTGAGTATATGACGCATTCGGCAGAGGAGGGGTGTATTCAACAAAAAAAAAAAATAAATAAAAAATTGCTTCTGTCACTGCAAATTATTCATTGTATCATATCTGAGTATTTTTCAAAAAATTAGAGCTGATTACACAATATTTCAAGCCAATTTAGGTTTATAGTTCATAATCATGCAATGAAGTAACATAAACTGTAGATTTGTCTGAAGAATATTATCATATTATTGTTGCGTAATTATATCACTATAATTATGTAACAATAATATTATGCAGACAAATCTACAGTTTATGTTACCTCATCTCATTAAAGTTTTTTGTCAAAAGCATTTTATTTTTGGTTATATAATAATTTAAAATATTACTTTTTACAGGCTTTATTTTTTAAATGGAATAAGATCATTCTAAATTTCAGAATATCGCAATTGCCCATCAAAATGACTGGAAGAAAGTGATCTAAAAACAACAATGGAAAAGAGAGGTAACAAAGCGTAAATGAAATAGCTCCAGTTTGTTCAACTTAGGAAACTTAGCATTGCAGCTAAAGTATTTTAAAATGCTACCAATAAGAAAGGAGAAAATGAAAAATACCTAACAACAAATTGAATATAGCATCAAAATTTATATTATTTATATTGATTTGTGATGTAACTAAATGCATAATTATCAACAATGTTTCCGTAAAACTTGATATTTCCTGTAATTCTTAATAAATATTATAATTTTATTTTACTTAAGTGTAAGGTAGTCCTACATTTACAATTTCTTACGGCTAACCATGACAAGAAATGTTGATCAAAACTGCCTAAAACCTTTAAACATGTATTGCCGCAAAATTATCAAATGTTGAATATGCCCCTCCTCTACCGAACACTTCATATATAAGACTAGACAATAATATAAGGACTAACACTTCCACTACATAAAATGTTAGGTATAAAGACACCATAAATAACTTACTTTGCTCGATTAGCTGCAGAAGCAAGAACATCATTGAAATTTCCCCCATTGCAGAGCAACACTTTGACTTTGGGATTTATTTTCTTCAGTAATGGAATCTTTTTATAGTACATATTGATATCAGAAGGCATGCCAGGTTTGACAATGCCATCAACAATACCAGTGCCTATAAATATGATGTGAGTGCACAGAGTTGGGTTAAGTTCTGGGGGAAGGTCTCCTTCATAAGGCTTGTGGTTTGTGTAAAAATAACAAACAATTTTCCGTTCATTTTTTGGCACAGGCTGACATGCTGAAAAACAACAACAAAAAAAACTTGAAAGTAAAACTATTTTTCAAAAGTTGATATTCATGGTTGGTTGTATTCAAAGTATTTTCCATTACATCACTGGTATATGCTGATCAAATCAAAATGATGAATGGTTGTTAAAAAGTATGTCAAGTCATAAATGGAGTAGCTTAATTAATTCACAGAGTTCAATGATCATGTATTAAATTTCATGCGCTTTCTTTCATCAGCAAATTGTATATTCATGAAGTTTATAACTGAAAGTGAAATTCTTAATTTTTTGATGGTACCTCATTCCAACTTCAGATTTACCAACAATATGCCCCAAATACTCTGTTTAAATTTGGTAATTCCTCTCTTGGAAATACAAGTGACTGTAAAGTAATTTTGCAATTAATTCTCATATTTACTTTTGTAATAATTAATTGAGGACTTATGTGCCTTCTTCTCCTTACCTACACACTTACATATTCATCACTTATTATAACAAACTAAAAAACTCCAACATGATTACCACCAATGATAAAACCAAAAATTCAAAGATTCAACAATCAATATTGTTTATGAATTTGCTTGTCCACTTGGAGAATATATCTTTAATAATAATTCAAACAACACAACATTGGTTACACAACCACTACATTAACATGTTGATCAGCATACTATTTATCTGATAATAATTAAGTTACATAACGCCAACTAAAACAACGATAAAAACACAAAAAATACAACATATCCTTACAGATAACACAAAGTACATAAATTATAAAAAAAAAAAAACTGCTAATGCAGAAAAAACCAACATCAATAAAAGTTTATCGAATTTAGGAACAAACATACTAAATATAATTCATAGATAAAAAAGATCACAAAAATTGACACATGCAGACATGTTACTTTAAAAACCTGACATGACATATGAAGATGATGAAACTGACATATCACGAAAAAAAAAATTCCTTGATAATGGCTCACAAAAGCCATAAATATTAAGACATTGGATAATTTATATTTTAACTTACACATGAAACAAAGAAAATGGTCTGAAATATAGAAAAACTAAACAAAAAAAAATCTTCAACAAAAAACTTTTGTTGACCTTTAACCAAACATGCATGTGTGTGTGTGTGTGTGTGTGTGTATATATATATATATGTGTGTGTGTGTGTGTGTATTGCTGATGAAAAGGGTCCATCAATGAAACTCTGGAGTTGGGATGCTGAAAGTAACATATTTTATATTTTTTTATTAATTCAGCATACTTCCTGCTCTTCCCTATTACTGTGACAATGGACTGCCCCTACTTATAAATATGGCAAGTAGCTACATTAGAGTAGGATTTGAGGAGTAGTTGATTTACTCAAGTTATTCTGTTCTATGTATGAGTATTTAATAAACCTCTTCTTTGTTTTCCCTAATTTTCTGTTCCTTTGATACACTAACTACAGCCTTCCTAATTCTTGGCTATTTTGAACAAAGACAAGATTACAATAAATTCTCTCTCTCTATATATATATATAAATACACACACACACACACACACACACACATATATATATATATATATATATATATGTATATGCATAGGCACAAGTGTATGCTGATACAAAGTTATCTTCCTAACTTACTTCCCAAAATCTGACCAAATCAGATAATTTTGGAAGGAAGAATTTTTTTGATCATGCTCAAAACTTTTTGTTACAATTCTTCTATATAACACACAATGTAAAAACTACATATACTATTGTGTGTATGTAACATGCTTCACAGAATGCACAGATACTACACTGACTCTAAGCAGAATGCCAAAAAGCAACACACGTGGAACACACAAAGTCTCTGATCCTTGGCACAAATACAGAAATAATGCTAGGCTAATCTTATATATAAAGTACAGTGTACATGTGTTTGTGTGTGTCCAAGCAACTCCTCCACTCCTACTGGTCTGATTTCAATGATACATAGCTCATTCAAAAGCCCTAGAAAAGTTAGGCTCAGGGAATGATTTTCGTTGAGCTCAGATTCAGGGTTGCCAGATTATACGAGATTAAAATATATATCAATATATTATACTAGCCATTATCCGTGCTTTCATGGTTCAAGGGGGAGTAACTCTTATTTTCCTTTTGTATCCAAAATTGCAGCTATCTTAAAAGCCGCCCTATTGGGTGGCATTTAAGCTAGCTCCTTTGGAGGACTCTTGGTTTGCAATAGGGATGCAATAAGCAGAACTCAAAATTGATCACTGCATTTAAGTATTTAATCAATGTTTACCTTTTAAAAGTTCAATGATAATTCTTCTGCTGCCACTTAATTTAAAGGCAATTTCATGTATGTAGATCCTTATATTTCTTCAAACAATTATTTTTATTTCATGGGTAACAGAACAGGGGACAATTTATAAGATAAAATTAATATAGTGTAAAGATGGGTAAATAGAAATTAGAATTAGTTATACATTCAACATTTGAAAAGTTAGAGAAACATAATAGCTATTTAAGTAAAACCTATATTATGGGATCTATATGAATAAATGTGAAATTGGAGCTCAATTCTCAATTCTCCCATGAATTCTGAGATTAAAGAGCCCCAGCTCTACTTTATAGTAATTTGGTGTTTATTTGACAACTGATAAAGTGATGTTTTGACACAAGGTCAGTTTAATGTGGGGAGCCCGAGCACATACACCCGGGCCAGGAACAAAAACTGTCAGTTGTGCTGTCCTCTGTGCAAGCACCAATTCCTCTCTCTGGTGCAATGAGAGAGTTTGGCCTCAGGCAGCTGTTTCCCAGGTCTGGGCATCTTTCAGGATAACTTTCCTCAGTTATGACTGTCCTCCGATGGTGCTACTCCTGAATGCACTCTGCCTGAAGACAGAGACGCAACTGAGAGATGATAAATAAATGTGTTACAAACTACTTTATAGTAATTTCGTATTTATTTCTGATTATACAGAAATTGTGGCACAAGGCCAATGGGGCAAAAGGGATGGGATGGTCTTCATTAACTATCCTAGTCCTAGTTAACCCAACTCACGACCCATTCATTCATTACAATTTATTCATATACCAAAAGAACTCATCCATCACCTCTCGATCCTGCATATACCACAATACCGCATATTTGCTGGGAACCTACAAAACAACCCATGACAAAAAAATTTCATGATTCACAAAATGATGGGGGAAGGGAGATGAACCACAAAAACAAACTAAAATGCAACACAAAGATAAAACTAAAAACAAAACAATGTTAGTAGGACCCATCCACCACTCAAAAATAATTCTGCCGATAGACATAATCAAGAAGCACACTCACTAAAGGAATAGGAAGAATAAAAATAAATAACAGAATGGGGAAAATCAAAGGCTAACCCAGTCGAGATGAAAAATGGGGGACAAAACAAAATGGAAAGATTGGGAATCTCAACCTGGGACATAACGAAAGAGAATGCTGGGAACAAGCCTGGAACAACACTTATTCACATTAACTGGGAAAGTAATTTACACATGCTATTTACTCTGTGTCCCCACTAGGACAAGATGTGACACAAGGTCTATTTTTAGGTGGAGACCTGGGCGTGTACGCTTGGGACAGCAACAAAAATTTCCCTCAGTCCCCGCAATCGTTGGTTGCGCTGGCCTCAGTGCAAGCACTGATCCCTCCCTCTGCTACAATGGGAGGGCGTGGCCTCAGGCAGCTGTTCCCCAGGGCTGGGCACCTCTTCAGTATTATTTTCTCAGTTGACGGAGAAGCCCCTGAGCGCACTCTGTCCAAGAACAGAGATGCAACTGAGAGATGATAAGTTAATGTGTACTTACTTCAAAAGAGTAATTTACACAGTATTTACTTGACCTACCACTAAGTCAGGTTGTGACACAAGGTCAGTTTTTAATATGGGGACCTGAGTGTTTTCACTCAGGTCGCTGGTCATAGCTTGTCAGAGCTGGTCTAAGCTAGTCATAGCTGGTCTTGGCTTGTCATAGCTGGTCCAAGCTGGTCAGAGCCGACCCAAGCTAGTTGTAGCAATGATACTATCGGCACAGGGACTGAGTCCTGGGGCAGATAAGTATCTGAATGTGTATACCTCTCTAAAGAGGAATTTACACGGTATTTACTTGACCCCCACCCCCAACTGAGTCGGGTTGTGACACAACGTCAGTTTTTAACATGGGGACCGAGTGTTTTCACTCGAGCCACTGGTCTTAGCTGGTCATAGTTTGTTCAAGCTAGTCATAGTTGGTCTTGGCTTGTCATAGCTGGTCCCGAACCAAGCCGGTCCAAGCTAGTCATAAACATGATCCCCCCCCCATCACAGCGCTGAAGCACAAGTGCCAGGTAAGTATCCAAGTGCGTACACCTCTCCAAGGAGGAATTTACATGATATTTACTTGAACCCCCCAATGAGTCAGGTTGTGACACAAGGTCAGTTTTTAATGTGGGAACATGAGTGTTTTCACTCGAGCTGCTGGTCTTAGCTGGTCTAAGCTAGTCATTGCTAGTCCAAGCTGGTCAGAGCCGGTCCAAGCTAGTCGTAGTCGTGATACCCCCCCAGCACAGGGCTGAAGCACAAGTGCCAGTGCGTACACCCCTCCAAGGAGGAATTTACACTGTGTTTACTCATTCCCCCACAAGAGTGAGATGTCACACACGGTCAGATTAATGTGGGGACCCGAGTGCATGCACCTGGGCAGGGTCAAAAATTCCCCTCAGCTCCCACAATCGTAGGTTGTGCTGGCCTCAGTGTGAGCGCCGATCATTCTCTCTAGTGCAATGAGAAGGCACGGACTCAGGCAGCTGTTCCCCAGGGCCAGGCACCTCTCAGTATAATTTTCCTTGGTTGTGACTCTGTCCTTTGACTGAGTCGCTCCTGAGCACACTCTGTCCAAGGACGAAGATGCAACTGATAAATAATGCGGAGGGATTTACACACTAAAAGCACAATATCTGTATTATATATTATTTACTTCTAGGCAATATCACTAATTTTCATATCGATTTTA